CAGCTACTTGCAAAATAATTTTTCCTTAAAACTCATGTCCATGAATAAGACAAGAGTTTATGTCATACTTTTGACTATTGTGCTAACTAGCTCACATGGACAAAAATATCGTACTTTTATCATTTCTCCTTTTTTTCTTTCAAATGAATTATTTCAACCAAAACTTCAGATTTATTACATTAAATTAATCAAAATCAAAATATTTCATAGTAAAAACAACAGAAGAAATGAAGAAACAGATGGGGACGAAAAACCCCTTTTGAATTTATCCTAAACAAATATTTTTCACTAAATAAACTGTAACAATGTACTATTTCACTATTTACTAATTGGAGGTGAAAAAAAAGTAATTAAGAAAAAATGCAAGGTGACATAGGAAGAGTCATAATACTAAGGTGAAGAAGAACATGTGTAATAATGTAAATTTTAAAAACAAAAAAATGGGGTCATCATCATAATCATGTCCCCGTCAAAATTTCTAAAGTCTGAATCATGTGGGAGTGTAACTTGCAACTTGCTACTTACAAGTACTTGATTTTATTAATCGCCAACCACAATAATCTAATACACATGCTTATTCACGCGCCACTTATTCTTCTTCATTTGTGTCATTGTTATTTAATTTGTCTATATATAAAAAATTAGTAAAATTAGTTATTTACAATAAATATGTATTATTTTTTTAAAATATCTTTGTTAATAATGTGCATTAGAATGAAGACTTTTTAACATATGTCATTATCATGAGGACTATTTTGGAGAAAAATAAATAAACATACATGAGAGATAAAATAGATTCTGGTCTTATATTTATGACCAAATTTAATCTTTAACTGGTTTTTATATTTAGAATGGGAGGTAATGTATGCATAGATTTGAACTTATATTCTTCTCATTACGGGAGTAAGACTGCTTACTATATCAATCGACAAGTTATTGATAATTGTACAATTTATTTTTAGACTATATGAATTGTATAATTAAGAAAACATGTCTAGATTATTGCAAGGTTTAAGCACAAGTAAGAAATCAAATGAGAAAAAAAAAACGGGGATTGCAACGAAAGAACTATGTAGATACACTGAGTTGTAAATTAATTAATTAATGCTACGAGATTTTGATGGAAAAAGAATTAATTCCTCTGTGATATCAAAGCTATAAACTAATGATAAATCAAACACAGTTGATGGTAAATAGTCATCAAATAGAGACAGAATCATCGAAAACAAACAAATTAATGGGTGAAAAGAAACCAAGGTGAATTAATGGGGAAATTACGAAGCTTGAAACAAATTAGAAACGATATATAGAGAGTGCTAAGAGAGAGAACAAAACTGAAGAGAATTACTAATACTGATCATGATTTCATTGATTTGATTGACTTGTGTGAATTAATCTGTCCCTAAAAACAAAGAACAAGAAGGTTGATTTTAAGTTTTGTGAACGAATATAAATTATATTGAAAAAGTTAGGGTTTTAATTAAGATTCAACTTGATTCGAGTTAAAATTAGTTGATATTATTATTTTATCACATAATGAAGATTTCAATGTGCATCCTTTATTGTCATATCATTTATCATCCCACCTTATCTTTATCATCAGCTAGATACCTAATTTAATTATATTAAAAATAATTAATTAAATTAATTATTTTAAGAAAATATGTGTTAGTGTTTTCTAAAATGTCTCATGCATATAATTATTTGCATTGAAAATTACTTATTTGACCAAAAATTTCTTTATATGTACAATTAATTAAGAAAAAACGAATGAAGTTATTATATTTAATATCAAAGCAACTACTTAACTAATTCTTACATTTAAAAAAAAATAAAAAGTATCATTTTTTTTAGTTATGTTACAAAAAATAGTAAATTGGTTATATAATTTAATGACCGAATTTACAAATTTTATTACAGAAAAGACCATCACCATTAAATTACTTTGTTTTAGTAGTTAGAGGGGCAAAGAAAATATTATCTTTTTAATTAGAGAGGCAGGTACTAAAACCAGTAGCAAGAAATTGAGAAAGTATCAACATTTTAATGTTATTTGTACTAAAACCAGTAGCAAGAAATTGAGAAAGTATCAACATTTTAATGTTATTTGTGGGATTGAACCTCTGAAATTTTTAGGAGAATTTTCATGCCACTAAGTTATAATTGGATCAGTGTTAGAAAGTATCACTGATCATTGAATACTCATTGATTTATTTAAAAAAAGGTAAAAAGAGTAAAAGAGAATTTGAAGATAAAGGTTTGATTCGGGTGTTATATCTTGGCCATAGCAATTCTGGGAATCTACGTACTTGCGGTGGAAATTTCGAATTTGAAGATAGTGGGACTTATCATTGTTTTTCATTCATCTTTACCACGCTTCCCAGATTCTTATTTTGTTCTTCTTCATGATCAATATTATTTTCCAATGGACTTGACCATTCAATCCCCAAGGGAAAATTTAAAATTATTTTTTTTACAAGATTTTTAAATGAAAAAAAAATCCACTTCAGTATTGATATTGATTGATTTTGACCTTATATTCCTATCATATAAAATTTATAAGTCACACTATACACAAATCACAAATAACGTACGTGAGTGGTTTTAGATTCCATGCCAAAATTGTGAAATAAATTTTATTTTATTACTTTCAAATTTTGAGTTATTTTAGCTCTTAAAACAAAGAAAAACTGATATTTTAGATTTGAGTTAATATAATATTTGATCTATTAAATTTATTCTTATTTTGATTTTAGTCCTTCAAAAGACAAAATAGCTTAAGTTTTGTTTAGATTATATAGACTAATGTTTTAAATAAAATAAAACTTGATGGATCAAAATCAAAATGAGAGTAAATTTAAAAGACTAAAATTTGTATTAATCTTTTAAATTTCTTACAAATAAATTTTTCATCAGCTAGCTTATTACTTATGGAATGCAATACATAAGCACATCAACGACAAAGAATTTCTCTAAATTTTAATTTTATGCAAATACCATTTTTCACTTTGAATTATGCATGCATGGACAATTCTCCTAATTTTTAAATTATGAAAATTATAACTTACTTGAACCATCACATCTTCGTCCATATAAAATAGAAAATTTGTAGTAAAAGTTTTTAATACATTAAAATGCGAGTGAAAAATTAAACAACAACTTAATTAATATAAAGGATATCAACACAAATAATAATATAATTGACTAATTGGACTACTTAGATAAATAAAAATTACGAATGATTTAATTTTAATTTTGATAATTTAAATTTGAGCTGGCAAAAAAAGTTATCTTATATTATCAAGGGAAATTTCAATATTTCATGCAGTGTCAATTTCAAGTAGATTTCCAACAAAATTAACCATTTTACCTGATAATATATATCGCTGTCAGTCAGTAATCATATATTCTCCCTATACGAAGCTACAGAACAGGGTTCTCTGTCCTTATATTTTCAGGATATTATATAAAATTTATACAACACACAAATGCATCGATGTGAGGCTGTTAAAGATATTTATTTAATTATCTGAACAATTTATTAAAGAGGGACAAGGATCAGACACTTAGGTCAATTATATAAAACTATGAAATTGATGAAGATATTATACAAGAAAGAATAGCCCTTGTGGCATGCGTTGAAGAGAAAAATACGGAAAAACTGTAATAGAGTATCATAGGAAAAAAAACTACCAAAAAATCTTGATGATAAATGAAGAATTATCATTTTTTATGTTGAAACTGGTCATTACAAGGTTGTCATTAAAACTTTATAATAATTATATTTATTTTTTGAGATTTTATTGCAGTTCTCCTAAAAAATAATAGAAAATTATTTAAAATGATTTAGATATTTTAAAAAAAGTTTGGAAGTGCCATGGGAAATATGAATTAGATAAGCATTTGATCTCTTTAAAAGGGACAGAGAACAAAATGAATGAAGCACTGAAACAAGTTGTTAAACATGACTTTTTAATTAATGCTACTTCTTATCCTAAATATAAGTAAAATAGGATTTAGTTTCTAGTTTAATTTAAACTACCAACTATATTTTATATTTAGGACTGTATGTAGTAATATATTTAAAGATTTGAATATTGATAGAGTATACTGGCATTTTGTGATTCGTATAATTAACCTTACTTTGTTTTTGTTATATGTTAAAGATTAAAGTGCCATTTAATGTTATTTTTCAGTAATATTCAGTACTCTAATTTTATTTATAACATATACCACACTTTAATGTTATTTTTTTGACGCATCAAGTGCATCATCGTTATTTTTTTAGTTATATCTAAAATTTTAATCACATTTATAGTTTAGAATGCTAAATGTAATATGAATAAGATTAAGATATTAAAATACCAAAAGAAAATAACATCAAAAAATATTCAGTAAAATGTAAATAAGATTAGGGGTGATAAATAGAGTTGAAAAATAACAATAGGACCGCGGCTGCCCTCATGATCCATGCTGAATTCTAAAAGCTAACGCGGCGCGTGAGAAGGAGGCCCAGGATGTGGCGCGTAAAAGTGTTGGTTCCCTTACCGCAGAATCTTTGTTTCTCTTGACTGTGCGAGCGTGGACACACACGATAAAATCCACTTCCGATTATTATAACACACCATCCTTTCTATGTCGACTACTTAAAAAAAATAATAATAAAGTTTCGGTAAAAAAAAAAAAATAAAGAGAGAGAAAAAAAATCGGACTTAAAATAATAATATAACAATAAAAAAATCCTAATCCAAATAATAAATTAGAAGTCCCAAGTTGTTCGCTTTAAATTTAATACGCATTTCCTATTCAAGTATTATTCACACGCTCTTTGTCGTATATGATGATAAGAGTCTGGTCACTTCTCTTAACCTTAAGCCTTACCTTCCACACACTCACACATACTCCCTTTCTCTCTCTCTCTCTCTCTCTCTCATACGTCCTTTTCAGTGATAAATTAGCCAAAGGCAAAACGCTGCGGAAATCGCACTCTCTCTCTATCGAGCGGGAAACATTATTGGCATTGCCTCTTCTCTCTCTCATCTTTCTATCTGTTCTTTCTCTCTCATCGCCTCGTCGCTTCCATCCCTACTCTCCAGTCTCTCGCCATCGCCTTCCTTCCTTCCTTCCTTCCATGTCTCTACCTTCTGCTTCTTAATCTGCCTCTTCTTCTTGTTTTTCCTCCTCTGTCACTGATCATGGACGCTGCATTAGATGGATTCTCCATAAGGCAACATAGATCTTTTCTTTCTTTCTTTTTTTCTCTTCTTTGTTTCTTCTCTGCTTTACTTTTTCTATCACTATTACTGTGACTGTTGATTCTTCGTTAATTTTTTGTGATTTTGATTATCTATTGCAGGGACTATACCTCTAAGATGAGGTCCGTTGATATCTTCAAGTGCTGGCCCTTTAGTACCAATGATGTATCCAGAGAGGATGTGGAGTCCTGGCTTCCTCCCATGGTGGTTCCGAAGCCTCGGAGCTGCGGCGAAGAGGTCGAGGCTTCGAGATCCGATCGTGGCGATGATGAAAAGCCCTTGGATGAAGGAATTTCAAGAAGCGAAGGCGATCAGTTGGTGAAATCGGAGGAGAGGTTGGAGATGGTTTGCCCGGTTTGTCGAGTTTTCAACGCTGCTACTCTGACGGCAGTAAACGCGCACATCGATGGATGTCTTGCGCAGACTATGAGGGAGGAGAGGCGGCAGATGAAGTCGAAATCGAAGGCGCCGAAGAAACGGTCCATTGCTGAGATTTTTGAAGTCCAGGAGCAGGAGGAGCAGCCGAAGATTGAATCCGTTTTGAAATTCTGGCCTTTTCGTGAGAATCCTGATGAGGTGTCTATAACGGTCACTAAGTTCAAGTGGTGGTCTAGCAGGCTCGAGGCAATGAGATCCAACAAGGTTGATGGTGAAATTTCCGGAAATGACGCCGAATGTGTGAAATCGGGAACGTCAGTTGCTGCGGAGGAGGAAAAATTGGAGATGGTTTGTCCTGTTTGCCGGGATTTCAACGCCGCAACGGTGACGGCGGTGAATGCTCACATCGACAGTTGTCTTGCGCAGGCGATGAGGGATGAACGCCGGCAGATGAAGATGAATTTTAAGGTGAAACCGAAGGCTCCGAAAAAGCGGTCCATTGCTGAGATCCTAACGGTGGCACCTCCGATCAAAGCGACGGATACTGAGGTACTTGAAGTCTACAAAGAAGGTAAGGATGAAGAGGAGAATAAAAAAGAACATAAAAATGATGGTGGTGGTGGTGATTCAAGTGGGGTTGGCGCCGTATTTTCAACAGTCAAGGGCAAAAAAAGTACAAACAAGAGGAAAAAAAGAAGAATGAAGAAGCCAAAGAAGAAAAGCATGGAGGAAAATTATAGGGTTGAATCAGTGAACAATGGGAAGACGAAGATGATGAAAAAGAAAAAGAAGAAAAAGAATGAGTTCTCTGCAAAGAAGGTATGCAATTTATGTCATAAAATATGGTTAATCTTTCACATGTCCAGACTAGTTCCATGGTTTTTAGCTGTTTCATGAGAACGACAGATAGAATTCATGATTTATTTTCCATAAAATGTTACTAAACTCTGTAGTCTTGTGGGGATTTAGTTGCTTCTATCATGGGATGATAGCTTTCCTAGCTTCACATGTTGATTTTTCTGCATAAAATTACCGCTGAAAAAGCTGGTTAGAGAGACAATTACATATTTGTGAACGAAACTGGTTTTCGTTAGTATTTGTATGATGTAGACCCCGTTGCAGCAAAAGTTAGAAGAGCAGAAAATATTAAGGTAAAGAAATCGAGAGGGACTACAGTAGTGTTGCTCCAGGGGGAGCTGTGTGGTTGGTGCTTAGTACAGGTGTCCTAAAGGGGCCACTTATGGTTGACGAAGAGCTGGGATAATGGTGTGCGGTTCTTGTGTCCTCGCCCTATTGGCTACTGAAATGGGGGGAATCTTCATGGACCATGGGTAATGAACATATTCTCATATCGTCTTTTGTATGACTAACATTTCTGATAAGAAGATTGGTGAAATGTAAACGTCTGAGGTAGAAGACCTAGTTTTTTACTAGTGAAGAATTAAGTGAAGGTTCCGAATCGGGGAGATTGTCTAATTACAATGATGATTGGATTTGTTAAGTGACACATTTGAAGTTCAAGTGGTGAGTCAAATTGCTGAATGCTTGGAAACGTAATGGATATGGATTTATATCGACCGTTATCGCATGGGAATTAGCCTCTCAAGTGCCTTTGTGCTTTACTCATTGGGACTTGCGTGTCATTAGTGAAGCGAGTGGCAGAGGCAACCTGTATCTTACAATGATTTGGCAAATATTATATGTGCCGAAGGGAAGTGAAATGAATGGCCCCTTTAGTCTGATTTCATTCTGAAATATGTGTCGGTCATGTTGGCTTTGGTTCGCATTATCTGCTGGTGAAGTTCCAACCTATGATTTTGTAGGACTTCGTTTTGAGTAGTTGAGGAACCATTATAGTAGGTAAACTTCGTTAATTCGTGCAGTTATTTATTGAGAATCACTCCTCATGCCTTTAGTCAAAATTCAAGCGAATTATTCCATGAAGGAAAAAGTCAAGTGATGAATTTATTTCTGAGATGCAATCAGAGTAAGTGTCCCTTAGATACAAAAAAATAGTTAAAAGAGTATATTGTTTGGGGAAAGAGAAGACTAAAATTTATCGTCTATAATTTATGTCTGGTTGTGCTGGCTGAATTAATTTGGCAGTGGAAGCTGTTATATTTGTAACCCTAAGAGTTAATCACGGTCACATTATGATGATTTAGGATGATTTTACTGCAAAGTGTTTCCCTAGATATTAGGAAACTAATTGACTAAAAATGCTTTCAATGACATTTCAAATAATTGGGCTGTACAACTTCACTGTATACGAATGACTGCCATCTGTATAGTATATGGCTTTTAAAATCTTAACAATTTTAGACTAATTACTCTCAGTATTTGTTATTATGTTATTTTTGAACAGCTACTACTCTGATTGTGCGGACTAGATGTTTCAACATTCCGCTCAGTATTTTTTTTTTTTGGAAATAGAGTAGTTTTATGTTACATAATGTTTGTTGTGTCTTATCCCCCTCGTTATATCATAGAGACACTGAATAGGGCATCCTTTATGAACAATCGATTTGGCTGTAGTGTTCTAAACTTGTAGCTATACGGGTTTTTCTACCATATTCAATTTAGAATGTAATTTATGGTGAGAAAGTTTCTCGTGCCTTTGAATGATTATTTAGTGCCAAAAATTGGCTGATTAGATTTTAAGGTTTTCTTTTTTTTGGGTTGGGGGGCTGAATATTTTGTTCTTCTAAATCCTTTAATGATCCTGGCTTCCATTTTCTGCCTGTTAGATGTTATAATAATATTTATACAATACCATATGAACTAATTAATGTGAGCTTATAATTATCAGCGATTATTTTTTTTTTTAATGATATGTTCGGTTCTATTTATAAGTATTCAGTGCATTTTGATAATGATGATTTTCTTATGTCAGTTGAACTTAACTTCCCTTATTGCTTTAACAATGCATGGTGGATAGTCCTTTCTCTTATTATTACTACTACTATTTTTTTTTTGGTATATCCCTTTTTATATTTTAATCATATAAAGTCAACCTAATATTTTGCAGTTTTTTAAAATTATTATAAAGGCAAAGCATTTAAGCATTTACGTCACAAAACTCAAGATTAAATTAATGTTGCATTACATGAGAGCATGGTATAGTTGATCTTGTTGGTAATACATTGCCATGAAACTTTGACAGTTCTCATATCTGTGTTTTAATTTTAAAAAAAACTAAAGTTGGTGGGAGAAACTTATTATTATTATTGTTAATTTTTTTTTTTGGTTAGGGGAATCTTTAAGTTAGATAACGGTCATTCCTAAGAGTTTTCCCCTATTGTGAGTTAATTTTCCAATTTTGAAGATAATTACTAAATTAAAAATTCAATTGGATTTGAAGTGAATTTTTCATTGAAAATGTCACCATAAGTGTTTTGAATTTTTGTGTCTCCTATAGTGTTTGGAAAATAAATTATTTTTCTTAACTATCAAAGATAATAATATGTATAGTATAATCAGTTGCCCCAGAAATTGACTATAATGCCATTTAAAAATATCTCCGCTTTATCATATATGTAATCTCTGAGTGCAACTAAGAACATAATGGCTGCTGTACTTTTACAACAAACTTTTTGATGAGGGAAGCCATGAGACAGAAGGACTATTGTTTTTTAAGAATGCAATCTTTCATGCCAAATTACCATCTATGAAGGCATGCGATTTTTTGCATGATGGCTATCCACATTTTCAGTTTCTATAATTATGTTTTATCTTTTTTTGGTTCACTGGAGATCAATGGAATATAGACTTAATATGGTTTAAAAGCCTTGCAGACCAAAACAGTTTTTGTTATGCTCCATGATTTAATAATGTGGCAAAGAATATTGCCTGGCAATGTCATGTTCTTGTCAGTAAGGACTGGAAGGATGATAGAAGTTTCTTCATGATTCTCTCTATTGACAGTTTGTAAAACATATCTTGACTAAACTATGCAGATGAAATGTTTTGTTATTGAGCTTATCTATTGCCATTATTTCATTCCTTAGATTTGCTCCGCAGTAACTTCAAGCGGGTATCTGAATTATATATTTTTCAGTGTTCATCTCATTCTCTGAACAGTGGACATTTCTGTATGGTTTTAATTTTCTCTTTGATATTATTTATGTAGCCGAAAATCACTATGAATTGAAATTGATTTAAAAGCTTTCAGTGCTATTTGGTTTCTGTTCTGGTAGGCTTGGGACCAGAGACTCTTTTTTTTTTATTTATTTATATTTTTAACACAAGTGTTTTTAAATGGTTAAAAGCTTAGTCAACTTGTTGGGATTGAATTCTGTTGACTTTGTCTTTCTCAGGAAGTTGCTTATAAGCGCAAGGTGCAAACTCCAGTTAGTAATCCCAGAAAACTGAGAAGTACAGTTGATAATGAAAGGGTTGCGCTTGATGAAATTGATGCTTCTACTTATAAAAAGATATCAAGTTTGAAGCCCTCATCTGTAGAAAAGAAGCAAAAAGTTAAAGGCTCCAACTCAGTTGGAAAGCAACAAAAGGAAGTGCCTCCTGTTTGTGGCATTCTTAAGAATCAAATGAAAAATATTTCGGAAAGGATGTCAAACGTTTGTGATCAACAAGATGGTACTGAAGATAGTGATTGTGACACTCAATTTATAACATCGGATAGGCATGTGAAATTGTCGGGTAAAGATGACATACTTGGTCACTCATCTGACGAAACCATGTTCAGTGTATCTTCAGATGTGCCAGTTACAGCATCGGGTAAGCTGTCCTCTGGAAGTGAAGAAGCTGCTCTTTTGGAGGTAAACAGAAGTGATGAGCACACTTCCACTGATATAAACAAGAAAAAAGAGGTTTGTCCTATAGCTGAAGATGAAAAGTTTTCTACTACTCCTGAAGAAGTTTCTGGACAATGCCTTTTGAAGCCATGTGCAAATCAAGAGAAGTCAAAGCATCTAGTAGGGAAGTGTGAACCATTGACAAAGGTTGCGCTTCATGATAGCAAAAATCCACACCTGTTTGATGGAGGCAACATGACTACAGTTCCTTATTCTCCATATGCTGGAACTACTAGAACTCCTGCTTTACAACCAGGGAAGATTTGCAGTCTAGATACTCAAACGTGTGACTTTGAAGCCCTCAGTTCCTCTGTTAAGTTTGCCAATCATGGGAATGATCCAACCCATCAGCTTTCTACGGTAAACTCAAATGCAAGTACAAGGACCTTTATGGAGCCTTCATCATCTTATCCTGCTTCAGTTAATGAAGCTAATGAAAGACCTCAGCTTCCACCACAGTTTTACAGAGAGTATGATAGTAATGGGCAAGCTTTGGGTGCCAAACCATTGTCTCACATCTTTTTAACAGGTATGGTAGATAACTCATTCTCCCATCCTAGCTCGGGGAAAGTAACTGTAAGAAGTAACTGCTTGGATGAGAGCATTTTTGGTTTGCCACTCAATTCACACGGTGAATTAATTAATTTCAGTTTGAGTGGAAAAGTTGGGATGAATCAGCCGCAGACTTTCAGTACATCAAGAGTTTCTTGCGGTGGCATACCTGTTAATAATATTGTCAGCCGTTGTGGGCAAGAGTATTTAAGCATTAATGAGAGGGATTTTGTTCAGGAAACACGAAAAAAAGACTGTGAGGAACCATTTCCACATTATCCAGCCAGACTAGGCGTTACTGAATTACAAAGTATGGAGGGGGCAGATATTCACCGGCCTAATTCTGATAGTAGTTCCACTTCCAATCATTTTTCCTACTCATTTCATTCAGAGTTGAACCTAACGAGAAACTCGTTCATTGAGCAGAATCAACACAAGCAGGTTCAAAAGCAGAAGGGAAATCACATGATTTATGTAGAGGAAAGTTCAGATCCTGTTTCGCTTAGTTCCAGCCAGCCAACAATGCGATTGATGGGTAAAGATGTTCCGATAACTAGAAGCAGCCCTGAGATGAAACAGTTTGCAGAAGATGCTTGGACTGATGAGGTTTCCGGAAGGAGGCATTGCTCAAAAGATGTAGCCTTAGAAAATTCTTTCATGGAGACGTGTTCTAAGCAGAGTTTTGTTTCTGGTTCATCATCACATGTATCAACTGAGAATATCTTGCAGTCAGTGAAAATCTGCGAGAATCAGGCATTACTAAGTAATAGGGGAGCTCAAAATGGAAGCCTTGGAGTCAGTAGAAATGCTAGCTCATGTTTGCTTCCATTTACTCCACCTCCTACATCATGTGGGGTATACAATAGAGCAGCTCATGACTTGCCAAGACAGTTTATTTCTGGAGCTAAACCTCTAGGGCACATTCCTCGGTCAGCGGGGGTAACTAATCCTTGCAATTTTGCACAACCAGTCTTTGGATTTCCCTTATCGAATTCAAGTGATGAAGAACATCCTCAAGCATCTTGGTTTCAGAGATCCTATAGAAGTTTGCCCCCGTGGTTGTTAAACTCGGCTCATGAAAGGCCACCTGAAACATCTCAGCAATTTTCTGGCCCGAGTTGTAGAAGTTCTCCTCACAATAAATGGGGAGGGCACTTTACTACACCTTATGCGAATCATTCAGCTGTAGTATATCCTCCGAATCCTTCAACTTCTCACGGTCAAATGAAGACCTCACTTTGTCCAACTTCAATTGTTCAACCTCCACCCGATCCAGTTACATCTGTTACTAAACCATCCTTTAATATAAATAGTGGTCATAGAAGCATAATTAATTTTGCTGACAGAGTGAAGTTCGATGACATGACTATTGAAGAACATCAATGCAAAAATACCAGGAAGAGGCCTGCGGCTAATTTTGATGATTCCACAACAGCTTTCATGTTACCTAACATAGAAGTGCAAGAAAATTTGAGTTGTATGGCCGATCGAAATGCCGAAATACAACGGAACACAAGGTTGGTTGAACTTGATCCGCGTGGGGATAGTGGAAGAAAATGCTGTCGCCAGAATGAGGCTATAGGTATACATCCTAAAAGCTATCCAGGCGTTGAATCTGTTAAACCGGTTGGTATGATATCTTCAGGTCCTGTCAGACTAAGCCCAGGAGCTAAGCATATCTTAAAACCCTCACAAAATATGGAGGAGGATAACTCAAAGCTGACCCATTCTTCCTTTCCCATTGCTGCAACTACTGACCGTGGTAGGGATCTAGAAATTCAGAGAAAATTGACGAAAGTATACAGAATGTAGAGACAGGTCATATCATTTTATGATATCATATCAATATTTTTTGTATTCATATTTATAATATCCGCTTGTTATGAGCATAACAGAATAGTCCACGTACAACTATTGCCAGGTTGCTTGAACAGGTGGGAATTTTGATATAATACCGCCCAGTCTTTTTGAGCGTTCAGCTGTAAATTTGTGAAAGTTTTATGGCTACTTCAGAATTTTATCACCAAAGACGTTGGTTGATGATGATGCTATATATTGACAATGTCTCATTTGGATCACAGGTATTCTTACACTTGGCATCTGTAAAATGACATGTCCATCTGTTAAATTACATGGAAATGATGGTCTCCTGGCCTATCTTACCAACCGAGCATCCAGAGAAATCACAAAAGAGCTAGGAAAATACTACATTGCATGTAGATAAAGCATAGGAAGAACTAACATAGTAGTTCATTCCATAGATTTAAACATTTATTTTAATGAACATATTTCTATAATTGTATGCTAAAAAAAAACAATTATATTCAAAATTTTATGGCACACAAAAAATTGAATAAATCTTAAAATTTAAGCATTTATATTATATAATGCGTTTTGAGTATATGGATAGTGTTAGACTTATCTGAACAAAGTCTCAGAAGATACCTCCAATTGCATTGCCATCAATCAGCACCAGTTTTATGGTTTCATTGTCGCTTTACTGTTGTTTTTACCTGTGTACACTTCTATGGTATTGCCATCTATACAACTGTCACATTTGCTTCCTTCTCTTACAGTCCTGAAAGCTACCCATAAATTGCAATTTTTTCTGGCTAAATAAAATATAAAATTCCAGTTAAAATCTGAAGCAACGTTTATTGTTTACTCTCAAATTAAAAGGTAAGACTTGAAATGATAAAATTATCTGAATAAATAGAGCCCTTAATTGTTTGATCTTCAAAGTTGAATTTTTGCTCCCATGATTTAAAATATGTAATTGTAATTACACACTATAAATTTTTTCATAATAACATTACTTGCGAAGGGCATGAATTGAGAATTTATTTAGACTAAAATGGATCTTTGTGGGATGTAATAGAAGAAGATTATGGAAGTGGCAGTATTTATTTCTCGCACAAACGAGCTGAAAAATTATTTTTTATTTCTCTTCGTACTGTGATAAATTAAAAAATATGTCCAGGAAATTTAAGATCTAACTACGATTTAATTAAATCCTCGTATGATTTTGAGAAAAGAGCTTATACCTTAATATATATTTCTCCAGTCTTTAGTGTAGGACTTAATTGAGAAGTTAATATTGATTTCATATGTAAGACTTATTTCATGGGTTTATTAATTTTTTTTCCTCAAACTAACTCTATTAATATTTTCCCAACAACAATCAAGTATGAGAAGGAAGAAGGAAATTAAATAAAATGTTTAAGGTGTTCTAGAAAAAACATCCTTAATCTACTTAAATTAGTTGCTAGTTAAAAAAGTCTACTTAAATTAGTTAGTTAAGTCTTATAGTAAAAAGTTGAGGAATATATGTGTGTGTGTACACGATAATAGGATATATTCTTCAGTACATTAGCGTTGATAGCCAATGAAGTCAGCACTAATAAAATGAATTATACGTCGATAACAGTTATATTATTTTAAAAATGCCCTTTGTATGTGGCTGTGTTTAATGTTTATAAAGGTCTTTTCATGGGTCCAGCAAAGGAATAAATCATTACAATAAGCAGGATTTTGAGTGTGTGCTTGGAAATATAGACAGCACAATTTTGTTTAAAATAAAATAGATGTCAACAATTTATGAATAATACGAATTTTTCTAATAACAAAAAGAAAAAAAACTAAATACTGGATTACTTAATGCAAGAGTTCTAACTACTGGATAATAAATGATATTTCCTGTAAAGAATTAAACGAAAGAAGAGCAATTTAGAACGCAAAGGGAAAAAAAAATAAAGACAAACTCTAAATTTATCTTGATTTAATTTCCACTCAATCTCATCGGAAAAATATTCAATACAAGTTTACATTCAGTTATATATCAAGAATTCAATTGAGGTTTTTATTTGAATTTTCATGAGTGTTGAATTATATATATGTTTATAAAATCGAGTTGTGAATCTCAAATGCAAAAAAAGTCATCATTTCCAAAAATAAAATAATTAGAAGGAGGTTTTTATTTAAAAAAATTACCTAAACATAAAATAATTGGTAGCCAAATAAAGTACGGCTGACCTAATATCCTGTAGTCCGATGTTTTGTCCCTTTTTTATTTAAAAAATGACGTGTAACCCATAAAGTTACTTATAATTATAATGTCGGCCAAAAATCCTTTTTAAAAATACAATATCAATATTTCATTTTTCAAAAATGTTTGGTAGTAAACTCCAAGAAATCTAAAAATATTTCATTTTAATATGATGTCAATTTATATACCCTTCATCACACGTAATCTCAATACGTCTCTCTGATTCCTTTTGAGAAAATGAATGTTACAGTTCATGGTTTATAAATAACATATTATAAATGCATAGCTGCCATTAACACAATTAAGCTTTACATAAATAAGATTGATTTTGAAGTATCACTTTGAAATAACATAACTAAAAGGAAGTTACAGCAAATTAAATGATCTATCTAAATTAAAAACAGTCAAACTAAACTCAGTTTTTGTCACAGAGAACACAAGCTCATCAAAATATATATCTCTCAGTGCTTCCTCGCTTCTTTCTCAGCCTGCAAAATGCAGAAAACCTTGTTAACATCAACACAGAAGAAAACAAATAAGCACAGATTCATATATATCATCATTAGAATCTGATGAATCATTTGATTTGTAATCTGTAAGAACCAAACTTTTTCCTCAGATTTTTTACGTACCGTTCTGATGACTCTGTCGAAAGCATCAGGGCCATATTTATGAATATAAGTTTCTACAGCTTTTCTTGCGTCAAAGCTCATCATCTGCAGAACTTTCTTGTGATGTTCTGCATAATTTGAATTATTTATTCCAAAGCTTGCCATGTTCTTTGTGTACTGCCTCACGTAATTGTCATATATATATGCTGCTCCATTGAACATGGGCAGTACCAGCCACAGGCAAATCACCAGTTTCAGATATGGCCATATCGGAACCCTAATTAACCATGCACAAACAAGTTAATAACAGATTATTATATTCCTAATTATATATATTAATTAGTGGGTTTAAAATAATTAATAACGATGATTTGCAATACCATGATAGGATTTCATGGCATGAAAGCTCGAAGAGGGCGATGAAGGAATATAAAACCCAGTAGGTCAGCCATTGCTGGTCGTCCAGCGTATTTGGGCTCTCTATCGCTTTCACTGATGCCAATCTGTATATTAATATCAAAGCTCACCATTTTGATTAATAGATAATGAAATCATAACATGTTTGAAATGATAATATATATAAACACACACACACACACACACACATATAGAGAGAGAGAGTTATTAAACCACGAACAACTTACAGAGGATACAGAAGCATGACTCCAGGCCTGATATAAAAATAGAGAATAAAATGTTAATATGAGAGAGAGACAGAGAGAGAGATGATTTATATACATATATATATATTCTGGTGTACAAAACCCATTCAAACTAATAAAGAGAGAGAGAGAGAGAGAGATGATTTAATTTGCAGTATATATAGTTAGTTACCCGATGAGTGTATCGATATTTCTGGCAATTGCTGCAAGGATGCCCATGACGAAGAAGCTGCGGTTTCTGAAGTTTTCTGGTTATTATGATTCAGAATGAGAGAGGTCGAGATGATGATAATGAAACACTGCCTTGTGAATTGTATCCATATATATATATATATATATATATATATGAGAGAGAGGGGGAAGGGGGAGGAGAGAGAAAGTAGTAATAAGGTTGATGAAGGAAGGAAAAGAATGTTTGAGGAAGAGATGACCTAAAAGTGTTGTCCTGAGTCTTCTTTTCTGCAACGCAAAGAAACAACTACTACGCATGCATGAAGCTTAACGCAATATAATAATATTAGTAATGTACATAACAAATCATTTGCATGTGCTTAGCATCACCTTCACTTTCTAATTCGGTTACTTCCTTTTTCCTTCGGTTTTTGGGGACCATCTCGTCTTTAAATAAGGTTAGGCATTAAACATGAACATTTCTTTTTCTTTTTTTTTTCCTTTCAATTTTTATTAAAATTTTGGATTGGATTAAAGCTTTTAGAATCAACAGAGACTAAGGAATTATTGCATGTTTAAAAAAGAAATGAAGAGCTTGCATGGATATCTTAGGCCTCTTTTGATATGATGGAAGCTGTTTGATGGAATTGAAATTGGAATCGGAATTATTGGAAAGGAATAGAATTGTGTTTGAAAAGTATGTTTGGTATGAATATAGAATCTTTTTAAAATCCACAAGGACCAAAATATCCCCATCGATATATTTTTTTCTCAAACTCATCCTTGTCTGCTTAGCCCATAGGGATTTGATGACCACCATAAACGACGTCGGAGAAACTCATGGAAATGGAAACACAGCCAAAACGACGACGAAGAACCCATAAATTGTTTCTGCAAATTTCGAACCAGAATCAGAATTGAACTCCCATGAATCCTGTTTGTTTATTGCAGCATGCCTCCAAGATACCAAACGCGGCCTTACTTTCAATTCCGTTTCCCTCAGTTTTTGAACTCTTTTGTTAACCATAATTACAATCAAGAGAAAATATTATGTATGGTGAGAGGTGTTGAGAGATATTCCATAATATTTTTTTGTTGGAAAAATCATATCATTTATGATTTATGTCTATGAATGAATTACACAATTTAAAATGAATTGATTGATAACTATAATTGAAAAACTTATAGTTATTATTAAATGGAAATGATTAACACTAAATTAATTGAATCAACTTAAACTGAGAAATTAAAATAAAAATAAATTTATATTAATTTTTAATATCAAAATAAAATTTATGAATTTAATCACCAATTTATTCTAGTTGGATTGACTGCGTTAATTCCTTTTGTTTTGTAGAGTTTCATTTAAAAAAAAAAAAAATCCTCGCGGGTGATTTGTTTTCATCAACGTCAACGATACTCTCGAGGGCGTTTCGGTAATTTCATGTTCCCTGGTCGCACATTGTACGTTGCGCGCCTTCTTCTCACCAGGGTTGCTCCTGCTCTATATTCCAATCAGCTCCTCATTTTCTCGCTATAGCTGTTTATCTTCTTCACTCTGATGCACGTCTGAACCCTAATTCGGAGCCTTCGTTAATCTGCAACTCACGCATTGGTTTCGCTTCTCCAATCTCTGTACGATCTGAAAACCCTAATTGTCGCTTATTGTTTTCCTGTTCCTTCATTCAGTTTGGTTTTGATTTTGTTTCACCGTTTTAATTTGAGTGCTTCAAGTTTTAAACTGTAAATTCCGGTTCTGGGTCCGAGTCCGAATGCTAATTGGGGTGGTGTGTGTGTTTCTCCCAAGTTTCATGTAAGTTATATGCTGTGTTCCGATTCCGATCCGAGACCCGCCGGGTGCCGTATCGACCAATCGACCCGATAGTTGTGACCCGTTTTGGATCAGTTGGGCCAGGCGGGTTTTGATCGCAGCTGCCCCAAATCCCAACAGGGGCACGAGATGCTCCGTTCGTCCTCCGGTGTCGACATGAGGCGGGTCAACCCGCCATTACGTCCTCACGTTCGCTTGTCACTTGGCCTTGCCGTCTGACGTAGCTTCATTTATTTTGGTTCCGATTTATGTGTACATATTTTTTCGCCCCGCAATTCTGGTTGAAATGGCTTTGTCTGTTTTCATGCATTTTACGTAACTTCCAAAGTATAATGCCATTTTTTAGCTTTCTCTGTTTCAGTATTCCTTCACTTCTTGTTCAATGCTTCTCTTGCTATAAATTATAGCAGTACGTTGTGCTTTAAAGGGTCTTTCTTTTATAAAAAAAAGATTTTTTGATATTATTATCACTTAGCTGTTCAATTGCTGCTTAGAGCTTGTTGCGTGTATTGCAATGTTTCAATGTAGTCCTCCGGTTCGTAAAGTTACCGAGTATAAGTTATTTAAAAAAAAAGAAAAAGAAATCGGGTCATCAATCGCCATGGGAAGAGGAAGATGAGTTAATGCTAATGTTGACCTGTAGAAGTAAAACTTTTCATCCCTATCGATGCTTATTTTCAAGGCGAACTAATAGCTTTTTTTTGCCTCTGATATTATTTACTTATTTTCGGATATTTTGTGCTGTAATATATATCTTCTTGTATGAATGCGTCATGAGAGTTAGGAATCAGTTCCCTTGACTCTGACGTGTTTGGACTTCACTCTTCAGTGAAATTTAAGGGAGGAAAGTTCCCCTGGAGTTGTTGCCCATGTTAGGCACATGATCAACACCCTTTTGTTTATCTTTCAATTTGACAATTGTCTTGTCGAAGCCCCAACCCCTTCTGACTGCTATCCTACCGACTTTAACACGGGAAAGTTGAGTGACCAACAACCACACCCACCAGCTCTTCATTATTCATCAATCCTCCTCTTTGTTCTTCCTATTGAACCTACTTTATTATTCTTTCTTAGTTCTTTGTTATGATTCCATTTAGCGTGTTCTGAGGACAATAGCACAAAATGTGGGTTGGTGAGAGCACAGTAGAGTTTTGGGTCTGGTTTGTTGATAAATGGCATGGCAATTGAGGTATTGGAAGACAGAGTGCATGTGGGATGGGAGCAAAGGCAAGACCTCCACTGTCCACTGATGAAACTGAGGTGGAGAAGGATGAAGATAGTGAAGCAGAGGAAGAAGCTGAGGTGGGGATAGGAGGAAGCATGGGATTGAATTAAATTAATTAAAAAAGGAAGGAAGAGGATTGATGAAGAATTAAGAAATGCCTTTCCCTTGTTTTGAAGTCAGTTGCTTTCTTTGGCAGAATAGATATGTCAAATATGGGGGGGCGGGGGATAGGGTGCGGTTTTCATATGCATAATGTGTAATTTTTTTTGTTTTAATTTAGATGAACAACGAACAAACAAACAATAACAAGCCTTATCCTATTAAGTGGGCCTGGCTACATGGATTTTAGATTGTTTTAATTTAAAAGGCATCTTTTTTTCTTTTTTTTTCTTTTCCCCGCAATGCAGAGTAGGCTGCATAAAGGTGTTATGCTGTCGATTTCTTTTGTTTTTTTCTTTCCTCCAAATGGAACATGTTTTAATTGAATTAATAGCCATGCTTCTGTGACTGGAACAGGTTCATGCCATGGACATGTCGGATGCTGTAGTTGTCAAATCTAGCAGGCTCAAGTCAGTTGTATGGAATGATTTTGATAGGATTAAAAAAGGTGATACCTATCTTGCTGTCTGTAGGCATTGTAAAAAGAAACTGAGTGGTTCAAGCACTAGTGGAACATCACATCTGAGGAACCATTTAATCAGATGTCAGAGAAGAGCTAACCATGGCGTGGCACAATACATCACAGCAAGGGAAAAGAGAAAGGAAGGAGCTCTTGCAGTTACAAATTTCAATTTAGATCAAGATCAGAAGAAAGATGACGCCCTTAGCCTTGTGAATATTAAGTATGAGCATGAGCAGTTGAAAGACGACACTGTTACTGCTGGAGGCAGTAACTTAGATCAAAGGCGAAGTCAATTAGATCTTGCACGCATGATCATTCTGCATGGCTACCCATTAAGTATGGTTGAGCATGTTGGTTTCAAAATGTTTGTAAAGAACCTACAGCCAATGTTTGAGCTGGTGACCTTGAATATGGTTGAGGCTGACTGTATTGAGATCTATGAGAAAGAGAAACAAAAGATGACTGAGATATTGGATAGGTTGCCTGGTAAAATCAGCCTTAGTGCCGATGTGTGGACTGCTGTTGGTGTTTCTGAGTATCTGTGTTTAACGGCAAATTACATTGATGAATCATGGCAGTTAAGGAGGAGGATTTTAAATTTTATCATGATGGATCATTCCCACGCTGAAGACATGCTTTCAGAAGCTATCATGACTTGTTTGATGGATTGGGATATTGATCGAAAGTTGTTGTCCATGACAATGGATTGTTGTTCTACCAGTGATAACATTGCTATGAGAATTGGTGAGCGACTTTCACAAAACAGGTTCCTTTATTGTAACGGGCAATTATTTGATATACGCTGTGCTGTCAATGTTATACATGTCATGGTTCAGGATGCTTTGGGTGCAGCGGGTGAAATAATCAATAAAATTCGAGAAAGCATACATTATATCAAAAGTTCACATACTGTTCAAGCAAAGTTCAATGAGATGGCCAAAGAAGTTGGGATTCAGAGTCAGAAGTGCTTATTCTTAGATAATCCATTACAATGGAATTCAACTTATTCAATGCTTGAAGTTTCCTTGGAGTTCAGGGACGTTTTTACTCTTCTGCAAGAAAATGATTCTGCCAACAGAATTTGTCTGTCTGATGTTGAGTGGGAGAGAGCAACTGCAATTACTAGCTATTTAAAACTCTTTGTGGAGGTTACTAACGTTTTCACAAGGAGCAAGTATCCCACTGCAAATATATATTTCCCTGAGCTCTGCGACATTAAGTTGCAATTAATTGAATGGTGCAAGAATTCAGATGAATTTATTAGTTCTGTTGCATCAAGGATGAGAAGCAAATTTGATGAATATTGGGGGAAATGTAGCCTAGGATTGGCAGTTGCAGCTATGTTAGATCCTAGATTTAAGATGAAATTGGTAGAGTATTACTATCCACAGATCTATGGTAGCACTTCTGCTGGTCGTATCGATGAGGTATTTGATGGTGTAAAGGCTTTATATAATGAACATTCAATCTGTTCCCCATTAGCTTCTCATGATCAGGGTTTGGCATGGCAAGTTGGGAGTGGTCCACTTTGCCTACCAAGTTCTGCAAAGGACTCCAGGGATAGATTGATGGGATTTGACAAATTTCTCCATGAAACCTCTCAAAGTGAGGGTGTGAAATCGGATCTAGACAAGTATTTAGAAGAACCACTTTTTCCGCGTAATGTCGATTTCAACATATTAAATTGGTGGAAAGTTCACACTCCTAGGTATCCTGTCTTATCTATGATGGCCCGAAATGTATTAGGCATTCCAATGTCAAAAGTTCCACTGGACTTGGCATTCAATAATAGAGGAAGGGTGCTTGATCGTGATTGGAGTTTGCTTAATCCTGCTACTGTACAAGCTTTGGTGTGTTCGCAAGATTGGATACAGAATGAACTGGAAAGTTAAGGAATGCTTTTCCGTTACCTTCTAACTGCTTGTCATTTTTCTGAAGCTCCCGCTTGTAAGTTAGATCTTCCAACTCCGCAAGTTAATTCTCCTTAGGCTTCCAGTTTATTATATTAGATTGTATTTAGTTTACATTCCAATGTAGTAGCAAGTTGGTTTTATTATTCTCCTTTTTTCATCTCTATTTATTTATTCTATTTTTTTGTCGCGTTTGTAATCTGTGTTTTTAATGGTTTATGATTTATGATGTGCAAAAATATGCAGTCACTGTAACTAGTTGTTTCCTTGATAAGAACACATTTTGAAGATATCATGTATGAATTTTAACTTTATCATCCAATCAAAAAGAAGCTTTGTTGATCCTCAAACCCAAAATTCTGTCAATCAAGTTATTTCAGTTTTTGCCTGCTATATACACTAAGCAAGACACTTGCTGGACTCTTTAAATTTTTGCACGACAAAATCTGGACGCTTTTGATTTTTTTCCTTCTTTTTAGAATTAAATTACAAGTAATGTTGATATCATTGACATTTCTTGATTCCGATACTTCTAACTTGAGTGCCACTGATTTCCAGAGCTAAGCAACTTCGCCAACGAGACTAGAGACAATGAGCTGATAGCTCACATGCCACGGGTCTCGGTCTTCCATGGTTGAGGTGAGACTGATGTCAAGTGTTCAATTCTTGCACTTAATCTTCTTACTCTCTGGCTTTGAGGCTTCCCCATAAAAAAGAAAAGCAAATATATATAGGGAAAAAAAACTGCTAAATATGTCATATCTAGATTCCCAGATATTTAATTTTGGTGTTTGGTCTAATTGAGGTATCTGGAAAGCAAGTTGCAAAGTTACCAGCTGCTTTTGACTAACTAGTTAGTGTTCATGTGCAATATGTTAGTGATAACTTATGAGTAATTGTACACATTGTTCCGTGCATGGGCATGGGGTTTGAAGTGAGTCGCACTGTACAAATAATAGTGTGGCTTTGTTAGATGTTAAATTTTAGTAGTTATAGTTTAGAGCAGAGGTCTGAAGGTCTTAGAAGGAAACAATGTGTACTGTTGCTTGAAATTACAATGGCAGAGATATTGTATGTATCTGAGAGGAAACAATCTCTTGCAAATATTTATAATTTCGTCCCTGCATTTTTCCTCCCCTGCGAAGATGATGTTATAATGTTTGATTCACGCAAAGGATTAACTGTAATAAAAGGCAGCAAAAAATAAAATTTTTTGTTATGTCATAATGATCAGTTGACCTTTCAAGATTTTTATTTTATTTTTTATGAGCTCCCTTTCAAGATTTTTTTATGTCCTTTACAGCTAAACATTCAAAATATTAAGTAACATGTTTCAATTTACTTATAATTCAGTAGTTTTACATGCCTCCTTGAATACCATTTTTTTTCCATTTAATAAAAGTTAGTTGGAGTACACGCACGTATTGAATTTTTCTCTTTTTCTCTGTCGACTTTAAGGCATATTTACTCTCAGGCTGAGAAGAAAATAAAATAAATCTATGGTACAAAATGCTCTTAATTGTAATAAAAGAAAGCAGTAATGCTTCAATGAGGTTATTCTTAAAATGGTTTAGTGAATTTGATAAGTGAGTCTGCCATTTACAGTAAACTACAAAGTATTGCATTCAAAGGGAAGGCATTTTTTTTCATTTAAAAAAAAGGAAGAAAGAAAACAAAGAGAAGGCATCTTCTTCATCGCCTTATTCAAATTTTAGGGTTTTAGAAAATGCTATATCTGTTTTTTAATATAAGAACTTATTTAATTTTTATTTTAATTCTAAATATAAAATTTTTATCTATTTTATTTCTTGTATTTATCTATTTTTTTAAAATAGTTTTTATAATAATAATATTTTTAACTAATACATTTAATCGGTGAACATATTTTACGAAAGATAATATATTTATTATAAATAATTAAATAAGTAACTGGACACCATGCAGTCATGCACAAAGAATTCCCAACAACTAGAATAACTCTTTTATGTAACTTAACTTTTTCATGTTTCTATAATCTGTAAGAAATCACATGTTTAATGTATTTATATATGATTTAAAAATTTGCAAAATATACATTTTTATTAATTTTATAAATACTTTGAACTGCTATCCTAACGTTCTTACATACATGTATGTGTATTTAGTTAACATGAAATTTTTTAATATTATTTAGTATAAAAGAGTTGAATATTAAACAACGGATAACTAATAAAAAAATTTAAAAATAGCGAAAAGGCAGTAATCCTTTTACGTTGTAAATTAATAAGATGAATTTCGATGGAAAAAATATGAATTTAGTATTTGGAGTAATTCATTTTCGGCCGATACCAAATCCTCCCTAAGTTTTTTTGAAAAGATTTTTTGTCATCTACATAATACATATAACCCTAAAATTAATTATAACTCTAACAAAACACAATCTCTGTGAGTACTGAGTAGCGAGCGGATCCATTTTTCTTCGTTCATCAGACACTGCACACTCCGTCCGGCGCCGTCCATTGTCGTCAGCTCAGTGTGGTTGTTCTCGGGCTAGTAGTGAAGTAGGTTCGAACTCTAGGGCCTTTTCTACTCCCAAAATGCAGTGACATATATCTGAATTTGTTCCCTGCTTCGTCTGTTACCTGCTTGATTATTCTTGCTTTGTTTTAGAAATTCTTTCGGAGTCGGTGTAAACCCCTGGTCAACCTCGGCTTCAGTTGTTAATGGCGACTTCCCTTCTGAAAATTCCGACCAATGCGTTTCATAAGCAACAGAACCACCTCGCGTTCTGCTCAAGAGGCGGTAGTAGCTGGGGCAGTATTCCCATTTCTCAGAAGAAGAGTTCACGTATGCTGCCGTTAATGTCAATAGCAGCTTCATCTTCAGCTCAAACCTTCCTTGAAAAGTCTGCACCTTCGCCCCAGGATGTTGGGCTCCCTATATTGGTGATTACTTTCTGGTCCCATATTTAAATGCCACTTAGATGCTTAGATGTTTCATCAGGCAAGTGTTGACCCAAGCAATGAAGTTACTGGTTTTACATATTCTTAGGAAACTTGCCTTCTGGTGCGAGGTCATAAGAATAACTACTTCCTGGGAGATAAGCAACCTAGTTCCTTTGTACTTCAGCTTCACTCTGTTTCTTTTCATCTCTGTAGGTAGTGGAAACTGGAATTGTACTTATGTAAGTGGTTTGTTTAGTTCTTTCAAACATAAAAGAAATATGAATTCAAGTGTTTATTAAACTCAGGAGGTTCTGCGAGAAAACATCGATGCGATATAGATTTTCCGACTGCTCCAACCTTACTCGAACGTCTGATTGCATTTATATATTTGCAAGTGTTAGCATTTTCTATCCGAATGATTTTAATGATAAACGTGTTGGAACTTGGACCTAATGACTGGGTCTTAGCATGTAAACTCTCTCGAGTTACTGGCTGCTTTATATCATTTTAATCTTTGCCGGTGGCTTATTACAAAAACCTTTTGCAGATTCTCTTTAATAAATATTGGGCCATTACTCTATATATTTCTGTTTATTGATGCCACACTGTTGCCCTGCCTGTATTTAGACATATGACTGCCCAGATTACAGGGTAAATTTGCATTTATGATGACTTTATGCAATTCAGGTAAATTCATGCACTGGAAAGATGGGAAATGCTGTCATTAAAGCAGCGGAAGCTGCTGGACTGTATGTTGTTCCATTGTCATTTGGCCTTGAAGAGGAGTCTGGACGAACTGTTCAGATCAGTGGAAAGGAGTTTCTTGTGCATGGCCCTTCTGAGAGGGAAAGCAGTCTTGCTTCTGTCCTTGATAAATATCCAAATTTGATTGTTGTGGACTACACAGCTCCTTCCGCCGTGAATGGTATGTTTTTGAAGCTTTGAGCCATGTTAACTGATCAGTGGAGAGTGCCAAAATATTTTTATTCATCCCCTCACTTACACTAGCTTTATTACTGCATGTTGCTTGGAAAGACAGGCAATCTCTATTTTTTGAATGCTGAGTCATGTGTCCTTAATACGTTATTCTTAGTCTCCCTCCCTGCCTCTCTAAAATTTAACCTTTTAATTTAAATATTTGAGATTCTTGATATTTTAAACATGGGAATTGAGTAACTTGTATTTAACGGGTTGGGATAATTCATCTTTGCTTCGCCTTTACATCTTATGCATGCAATGTTAATTTCATTAGAGTAACACATTTGGATTTCTGAGGCATTAATTCGCAATTTTGACATTTTATTCATAGTCTATAGTCTGTTTTATGTATGAGTTTATACATCCATTAATCTTTTCTTCTCGCATGCAGGTAATGCAGAGTTATACTGTAAGTTTGGTGTGCCCTTTGTGATGGGGACCACTGGTGGAGATAGGGACCTGCTGTATAAGAATGTTAAAGACTCAAATGTGTATGCAGTGATATCCCCTCAAATGGGAAAACAGGTATGTCAAACTTAAGACCCATAATCATTTCCAATCTTTTGTGTTTTTAACCTCTAAGTCTTTTGTCATCCTTATGCTGCTATTCTCGTTTTCCCTTAGGTTGTTGCTTTTCTTGCTGCTATGGAAATTATGGCCGAGCAATTTCCTGGAGCTTTCTCTGGCTATTCCCTGCAGGTCATTCTTTCACCTCTTTGACATCTTTGGGGGTGGGTAGCATTTAAAGCATCACTGTTTAATGATGATACTGCTGGCTGTAGGTGAATGCATCTACACAGGTCTCTATTATCTCCTGAAGAGAAACTGAAGGAGGGAAAGAAAGCTTTCTTTCTCCCCAAGTTTCTCTTTCTATTTTAGTTGTAATGAAATTCATCAGCATCACTGAGAGGGGTTTCCCCGTTTATAGACACATTACACAAATTATAGAAAGTATGGTGGTATGGAGAAAGAGTAGGGCGGAGAACAGAATTTCAGTAATAATCTCAAATAAATAACCAAAGTGTTCCAAAGTCTTGACATCCTTATTTCATTTCTCATTAGTTAAATTACTTTAATCATAAAAAAATTGACATAGTTTAAGAAATTAGACCTTGCAAGATGGTGGTACTTTAAGACAGAGTCAATTGTTTTAATTTATTTATTGTCATCCATATATTTCTCATGGTTAAATCGTATCTGTATGGTGAGTTTGCTTGTGTGCTTATATTTGCTTACTATACATTATTATGCTATGTCAATCCACTTATATTTTCAATATCAATCTTTATCTCACTACTTCATTTGTTTCACGACTGGATTTTAATGCCATCTCGTTTTCTGTAAATAATAATAAGTGTGCCAAAAAAAAAAAACTAATTACAACCGTGCGTTGTGATAGTATAAGAACTGATAAAGCTGCCATGGTTCTCCATTCAAACTTGGCCAGAAGCAATGGTTAGCAACTGGTCGAGATTTGAATCGATCATAGTGCTAAAATTTGCAGCTGAATTCTTGTTAATCAGAAGTCTGGAAATGTCAATTCTCAACACAGTCCTTATTTCTAATTAGAAAGTGGGCTAGTTTTTCTGTTCTTCTAGAAGTTACTATTAACTAGGTACAAAATGTGATACGTATTAGGAAGGCATAGATATGAAGAATTATTTATATATTCATGATATTGCATATAATGCGCAGTGTTCTTGATAGTTTATGACTGGTGTACCCATAGTGAATTCTACTTTTGAGAGAAAATCTTGCTTTTACCTGCTAATAAATAGATCATTGGATAAATTACTTCTGAATAAATAATGTTTGGTCTAATTAACTCCTCTCTGTTGTGATTATATTTTCATTGAGCTATTAAATTGGATCTATTCTTTCAAGATGTTAGGTATTGGAGTCTCATCAAGCAAGCAAGGCTGACGCATCTGGAACTGCCAAGGCTGTTATTTCTTGCTTCAACAAATTGGGGGTGCCCTTTGACGAGGATCAGGTATGTAGATTACATTTCCTGGTTCATTGGGCTATAGTATCGTGTGGTCTGATACTCACCTTAATACTCATTGTTCTTCTTCCTGAGCTTTCTGTTTGCATGGTTCAAATTTATTGATCTTTCTCCTTGTGTCAGTTGTAGTGCATTGAATAAACAGCCTGTCAGAGTACAGAGCATCTTAACTGAAAGCTTCGTCATCTGTTCCCTGAATAATTTTTGAAATGAATTTTATGCGCCTTTTCCCCTTTAAATGTTAGAGGGTTAGTTCATTGAGGCTTTGTCGCTACCCACGTCCCTGGTATCGGTAATTCCATATAAATAAGACTCCTTTTTAAGCTACAACATTTGTTTTCCAAAATTCTGACTACTTGATTCTTACTGTTTTCAGAAATGTCGGTTATAATACAATAATTCTCTAATTCTGACCCATGCATACTTTGTCATGCTCTTTAGTCCTGTTCATCTCTGAAACATGTGCTGCTGACATGACGACGACGAGGTTGACCATCTGGTCCACTCGGATCTGGATCCTTGCTCTCTGTCACCTTTACATGAAATGAAAATGGCCAGTTTTGGCTTAGTAAAATCATAGTTATATTCCCTGGAAAAGAGAAAGGTTCATTGTTCCATTATTCGTCCAAAATGTTGAGTGTTGATGTGGAAGCAATATTGTTTCTCACATGTCAACCCCCCCATTTTTCAGATACAACTGATCAGGGACCCGAAGCAGCAACTTGAAATGGTGGGAGTGCCGGAGGAGCACTTATCTGGTCATGCATTTCATATGTATCATTTGACATCACCAGACCAAACGTATTAAATGAACTCTTGTAGTTTCATTCTCATTTTTTGTTTCACATGTCTTGATATTTTCCTTCTCCTTAATTTATTCCTCTTTGAAATTGTTGCAGAGTTTCCTTTGAGTTTCAACATAATGTTTGCGGTAGATCAATATATGCAGAGGGCACTGTTGATGCTGTTATCTTCCTTGCCAAAAAGGTGATGATTCTTCTACTATCTATTTTTTATCTTGTCTGTTTTAAATGTACTGCTTCTTTCACTTGATGAAATGTGATTGATTGATGTTTCATTCCCCCCCCCCTTGTTAGCATAGTAAAAAAAAAAAATGCATGGTTTCTAGAAATTTAAAAAAAGAAAAGAAATGCACTACACAGTAAAATTAGCTTTTGCACTGAAGTGTTCTTGGATACAGTATGAGAACTTTTTGTGACCATTACATTTAGGAATTTTATTCTTTCATCGTTTTAATTAAAACATTCAACTCAAGGTATGGCAGGGCATGCTTTATCCATGCGTAGTTAAAATGCTTGCAATGTTGTCTTTTCTATTCCATTCAAAAGTTAAGGGAGCTAAACAAACAAATAGCGTCCAAGTCAGCATACTAGGTTTGATGTTAAATTTTGCACGGAGACGAGATAAAGCATGATTGATGAACTGAATCGAAAGGATTTACTTGTAGAGGACCAGACCTACTATTTGATCTATCATTTAGGGATCTAAAATGGGGTTTTTCTCATAACAGTATGACATAGATGGCCTCTTGCTTTGTTGTTGTTCATGCAGATAGAATCAAAGGACAGCAAAAAAATATACAATATGATTGATGTCCTGCGAGAAGGTAATATGCGATGAATTTTGCTCCAAGACACTGGATGTTTATCTAGGAACTTGTTTGAAGAGATTCAACATTTTGGTAATCGAGATGCGAACCCTTTTCCATTTTCTGCTCATTCTTCTTTCTTTTTCGTTGAGAAAATCTTAGTGAGCATCCTGGGTTGCATGGCCATGGCCGGACCTATCTTTGTTAGAGCCACATATTGGATCAGTTTGATAAATAAAAGCGTAAAATTTATATTGCGCTCTCTCCCATGTCTATTTGCGAAATGATCGTAAGAAGATGCTGAGCGACAGATCCCTCGTTTTAGCTTGCTATAACTTTGGTAATATATATCACTTTGTTCCTATATACAAGATACTTATACCTCATTATTGCATACCAAAAAAATGCCTTAAATTAATGATAGTTAAGAAAGTATTGAAAAAAGATGTCCTACTTTTTCTCATTTTTGTTATTGTATTCACTAAGGATAAAGTTGAAAAATAATCATTATTTACCTTATAAGTGACTTATATTTAAGAACAAATTTTTCTCTTACAAGTTATATATATATATATATATATATATATAGAGAGAGAGAGAGAGAGAGAGGAACACAGGTAAATATAGATAGATTTTGAAAAACAAATCCTTCAATTAACTTATCCATCGAATTGATAAACATTGAACTGAACTTTTCTAATATTTGTATTGGTAATCATAATCACCATAAACATGGCGATCTCTGTTCATAGTCCCCGGCCTATGGATCCTCACTGTCATCCCCTGTCATGTTTTGAAAAAGTCATTTGAAATATCATGGATGGGTTTGGGTAATGAATCGTGTGTGGGTGTTTGTGTGTATTTATATATGTATACCTATTTGGTGATATTACTAAACCATATATATATATATATATATATATATTTGGAGTTCATCATGAAAATGATTGAAGACGTGGATCTTAAACGTATCACCATATCGTGCGAGGATACTGAAAGCGGTAATTGCATAATGGGCTCAGAGAAATCTAAAACTTTTGGTCCAGAATTGTGTTTAGTGCAGGCTTTAGGTCCAGAATTGAATTGAATTTTTTGATTTTGATGTTTAATTACTAAAATACTTTTTAATTTGTACCCAAAAAAATACTTTTTAATTTATTAAAAAAAACTCACCACAATTTCAGTGCTCGGGCAAACGTTGACGCCTTGACGGGGTTTCGGCATTAGCAACCATGGTCAACGCTTCTAAGATTTCTAATTGTCAATTTCTCTTCAAGCAAGTTGTAAATATTCAAAAATCAATTACAAAATCTTGTCAAAATCCGAATAACTCATGAATATTTTAGAAATAAGTTGTCAATAATATGGGGAAATTCACCTTGAATTTCAATTAAAATAATTAAAGAAAAAAAAAAGAAAGCAGTCGTGTCTTAAATAACAAATAAATCTTTGGGAAAACTCAACAATAAAGCGCTTAAAGGTACCTTAATTAATCTTCAAACTAAAGGCAATGAAGCTTCAAACTTCCTTTAATTTAGAATTTTTGTCAAACTTTTAAGACTAAATCTCCTCTTAAGAAATTGACTAACATGATAAGGTTTCAAACTGCCAATTCGCTTTTTACACAGATTTCTCAAAATGTTTATTTAGAAAGAAGAGCGTTTGATTTCTGTGGAATCTGGAAAGTAGGACGCTTCAGACTTCAGCTGATGGCAGAGTACCTTCTTTTGTGGCTCTGATTCCTATTTATTAGGACACTGCCCATGCCTCACTCTAGCAGCCAGACAAAGCATTTTCTGCTTCTGGTTTTCATAGATTCTGACTTACGTACAAAATATCAATCTATGTGAAAAAATATCTAATCTGACATCTAATAATAGAGGATTTCTGCGTAAACAATTTAAATGTTTCTGATATTTATCTTGTACTAACCCATGTATCATTATTTTGCAGCATAATCTAACCGGTATATAACTTTTTTTTTTTTGGAAACCTATTAACACTTATGTAAAATATAAAATCATAAAGAAAATACTATTTATAAGTTTTACAAAGTATAATATATTTTTTCAACTTTATGTAATGTATGAATCCCAGAATAATTAACATAATCAAAATAATATTGATTTACCATATAAAAAAAATGTTCTGCACTTTTTTGTTTAACCAACAAGTATGAGGTGGTAAATAAGCCTAATTATGTAATAATGACAGTTTATATATATATACACATATAGAGAGAGAGGGAGAGAGAGAGAGGACATGAGATTATTCTGTTGGTAGTGGATTGAAATACAAAGAAAATTAATGAGAAGATAAGGGTGAGTGATTTGGCTAATTTCCTTATAGGATTAGACCAGCAAAAAGGAGGAAGAATGTGATAGCAATATAAGAGGTTAGTGTACCAGCTCATTAATTTGGCCATTCAATATCTATCCTGACGTACACTTTGTAGAGAAATGGAAATGATAATACTGAGATCACAAATATCTCTTATCTCTGTTATGTAATTTAGAATGGCACACAAACATGTTTGCTTCACCTCATCATATTTATGTGTAAATGCATTTGCTCATATAGTTAGGAGGATGGAGAAATATTTTTCTTTTAATCATTTATCTGGCTTAGTTCTTGAATATTGAGTAAGAGGTTTGCCTTCAATATATAAATATAGAAAGAAATCAGTATACAAGTCCCTATAATGTTATGTTATTTTAATTAAATTCTTATATTTTTTCTTTTTATTAAGTCTCTTTAGTAGTTTTCTCACTTTGTTGAGGTTAGTGTTAACTAATATGATATTGACAAAAGTGATTATTGTCACATCACATCCAATTATAGATTTCCATTTCAAAGAAACTTACTTTCAAAATAAATCCACATCAGTAACTTGGATTTTTATGTATATCATTTTGGGAGTAAAGTTGTAATGCACTAAGCTAACGCGTGGGGTGGTGTTTTGAAGACTTTTTAGAGAATGAATTTGGATCAAAAGGGAAGAAAAAGTACTCTTGAATTGCAATAATAATAATAATAATGTTTCAATTCATAGTAATGAGGCTATATATTCTTAAAATGGTTTAGTGATTTTGATAGGTGAGTCTGCCATTTATGGTACAAAGCATTGCATTGAGAGAAGGCATCTTCTTCATCACCTTATTCAAATTTTAGGGTTTTGGAAAACACATGGATGCTGCAGACTGTGGTCCCACGCATACAGAGTTCAACATCAAGTTTCGAATAATATAATACGCATTATTATGAGTTTGCAAATGAAGACAATTAGGTTGGAACTAGCATTTCTAGGGTTTTGAATATTACTTCACAACTGTAATATTTTTTTTTTTCACATATTTAATTATGTGGTATTTTGTATTATTAGATTAAATTGAAACGTTGTCGAGTTTAATAATTGGAGGTAACTCTTATAATGTGATTTTCTGGGGGCTTAGATTCACACTATTAATCATGTCTAAAAGATCAAATCTTAATCAAATATCAGCACAACTATAATTAATATTTTTTTTTATATGTAACTAGTTTATAGTTTTTAAATTTTTTTGTGATCACAATATGACTTCCTAGACCTGACTTTTACTTTTAGAACCAATCTAAACTAATTCTAAGGCCAGTCTAACTACTCTTTTTTACACAGCTATATATATTTTGCTATCATGCGACAGCTATATATATATTGTGTCTATTTCTGCTGTCATCCTATACGCGACCCACAGCATTAGCTGTGTGTGTGTGTGTGTGTCTATGTAAACACTACATATTATGAACTAATAAGAGCATCAATTTCACTTCTTTCTCTTTGAATACTTTAGGGGATAACAAGAATTACTTTGTGTGTTGAGGTTTAGTGTTCGATAAAAAATCCAAGACATATAAGCAAAGATAAAGCTCATCATAAACCTAATATTTGAAGGTTTTAGGTTAAAAAGTGATGTTAATTAACTTATATAGAGTATGTCCTAAAATTCAATTAAAAAAATTAAAGATGTATGTAGTGCATCTCTATGTTATTGCTTTCTAGCTTGGGTCCCAAGGTTCCTGGCAGGGACATTTATTCCGTAAATATTTTTTATTTTGTCAAGGAGAAGATGATTGCTCTCACCCAAATTCCAGGCACCATCATCATTATATTAATCAATATTCAAAGGATTATTTTCAAACCCTAGCTTTCTACTAGGTTATATCACAATCACATTGTGGTCCTCAAACAATAATAAATTTCTATTATTCAAATTTCCTTTTGTGTGATGTGAAGTCACAAAGTCTACAATATATAGACTTAGAATATTGGATCAAACTTGCACTTTCTGATCAAACATGGCATATAGCCAACCATCCTGCATTTAATAAGGTTCATCAGAAATAGTAAAATTGCAGAATCACAAACCTACAATATATCAAATATTGGTTTTGCATTCAAAGTATCGGGCATGAATTAATGTTATAAATTTGGTTGTTGTAGATGTGAAATTACATTGAAATTCCTTTCACCAGAAGATGATATTCCTACCGCCTTTTATATCTGAGTTTTATTTTTCTCGGATGCTACATCAAGAGAAAATTTTTAATTTAAAATATATTATATTCATAGAATGCATTTTTACGTACTTCAAATCACACACACACGACTTGCAAATCACTTTATCACATGATTGAAGTAATTCTTTGCAACCATGTAAATATAAGAATATTATTCTTTTGACCAAGTGAATCCCAAACTTGTTTTGCTATAAATAATTAACGAATATATAGATATTTTCTTTTATGTAGGTCCTTTTCTTCCTTACAATATTTCTAGACGCACCTCAGTGCATACAACTATATTTTTGACAGATTTATGTTGGAATCTATCCTAGTGAATCATATTCGAATATTATTAAACTCATAGCTCTCTTACATGAGACTTTGTTGACCTACAAAATCTGAATTCTCAAATTCACTTAAAGATAATTAAATATTTTCCACTCAACCTGACCGATATGACTTTTATGTGCATATGTCATAAATGTAAAAGCCAGTTGAAATGTTTGCTTTGGTCTTAACAATTTACTTTCTCTCCCAAACTTATAATTTTCCCCCCCTCAACTCTCCTTATTGATTGCAGGTGATAATGAGTTTTTCTATTATTATTATGAAGGGGCATCCAATGCAAATGATTAAAAAGAAATCTATTTTAAAAAGAGGGAATTGCAATAAGATCTCATGGAAGGAATATATTCACAAAAAAATTCCGTAACAACTGAAC